TATATATATATATATATATATATATATATAGAGAGAGAGAGAGAGAGAGAGAGAGAGAGAGAGAGAGAGAGAGAGAGAGAGAGCGAACGCATGCACCCACGTGCAAACGATTGTGAAGCATTGCAAACAAGCTTGTCGGTTCAATTACAAAAACTGCTAAGTTCTCACCTCATTGCTGAGAAATATATGTAGCTTTTAGCTGTTGTATTTTCAAAATTCACGGGGCGGGGGTTGAAAACCAGCTCCTGAATGTGCAATTTCTTACCTATAAAAAGTTTCCATCTCAATAAAATACAGCACGCCGGCATTAAAACGCCATTAAAAATCTTTATGAGCAAACGTGTCGCCCTCGCATTGGGAGTTCCATGGAGAATCGGATATGTGTGTTTAGACGTATGTCGGATGTCCAGATATCAGATGTGTATCCGATTAAAATCCACATTTGGAAGTGGCTCAGATCGGATGCAAAAAAATCGGATCTCGTGCAGGTTTTTGTGTTTGCACGTGCGCAACAAATTCCGATCTGTGTCCGATTTTCGGAAAAAGATCCGATTTTTTGTGCCAGTGTAAACGCAGCCTAATATGTCTAGCTAAAAATGAAAAGTGTTGGCAGTGGCCACCCTTGATGAGGTTGTTGTAAGCTTTGCCCCAGCTGTTGCGGTGGTTGGAGGTGAGGATGCCAATAGGCTCTTTGTTGGTCTGTAAAGAGGAGTTCCAGATCTTCTCCAGCTGAATGTAGATCTGGTCTACGGTCAGTGGTGTGGCGTCACTGTTGTATACATCCAGCACAAAGAACTGCATAACGAGAAAAAAAGAACAAGATAAAAAGACACTTCACCATCAAGAAGTAAGTTGCATGGTACTAACAGATCACAGTCCTGGATGCAGGAAAGTGTTAAATGTTAAAAAAAAAAAACTTTTTTAATACAAGAAATGCAAAAGATATGATTTATTTTTTATTTTTTCAATTCACCTACTATTGGAAGTTAAATTTGGAACAGGGACCGACCTGAAAGTTGTGCACTACAGTGATATGTGTGGGGGGTCTCTTGTCCAAGGTGTAGTTCACCACAGTGTCCCTCTTTGTTCCAGGGATCCGGCAGGACGAGAGCACCTTATAATACTGGTTCATACAGAGTGGCTTTGCACCCAGATACTCCACTGGCAATGTTTCACTAATCAAAAAGGAAAGACATTATGTCTGACTTGACCATCTCATGAATTTAATCAATTGTAATAGTTATGGTTATCTAAGAGAACTGAATGACTTATGACTTCACAGGGAAAGTAAGGAATGTGTCACTCACTTGTCAATCATGCTCTTGAAATCTAAAACTCCAGCGATTAATTTAGCAGCATATCTGTGAGGGAAAAAAATACTTTTACTTTCTTACAGTCATTTTGAACAAGCTTAACACCAACATACTGCCAATGAATTATTCTACTATAAATACAGTAGCAGCTGCTGTGCCACCATGTGCCATTGGCTTGTCTGACTTATGATATTGACAGAACACATCTTACTGCTGATCTGTGGCCAGTTTTAGCAGTCATATGTGAAAGCTGTCATTATAGTCAATGTGTCAATGCCAGTTAAAGGAACTTTAATACTTTGTAAATATTATTCAATGTTCATTTACATGAATTAAGTCCACAGGCAGTGACTCATAGTGGCATTACTGCAGAGTGAGGCAGTTGTTTTCAGTTACCGCTATGGTGACCTTTATTCAGACTAACCCTCTTTTGCCAAGTTGAGCTTTGCAATTCTGAGCTCAAAGCTCAGCTCAAAAAATAACCAGTATTTTTTACCCCACTAGTAAATATTTTTTAAATTTTTCATTTTTTTAAGCATACATTTAACAAACTTTTGTAAGGTTTATACTTTAAACAACAACAAAAAAACTATTTGCCAACAATATTAAGAAAAATAAACTAAATATATGAAATATATCTAAAAACTAATATTTATTTTAAGTTTGCTTGTCATATTTTAGATATTTTACTGGAAAACCTATGCACACAAAAATATTTATATGTTAAAATATAAACATTTTATATTTACGTAAAATATATTAATAAATTAATTTAAAAAAAAACTACAAAAATAAAGTGTATGACTTCAATCAGGGTCATAAATATATTTATGTTAAAATACAAATATAATACATTTCATTACACCAAATAATGTTCTTTTTAGCAACATCATATGACCCCTTTAAAGTAAAATAATAAAAAATAAAGTTTTTCAGTGCATGACTTTAATCAGTTATATATATATATATATAATGTTAAAATATAAAATGTTAGATTTTATGTAAAATATATTAATAACAAATTTTAAATAAATATATTTTGCACTATAAGCAATTTAATTTGCATATTAAAGGGGTCATATGATGCTATTTTCAAGATCATTATTTTGTGTATTTGGTGTAAAAGAATATGTTGACATGCTTTAATGTTCAAAAAACACATTATTTTTCAAATACTGTACATTATTGTAGGTCCTCTATGCCCCGCCTCTCTCAAACACGTCGTTTTCTACAAAGCCCCCTCCTTTGACAAGCGCAGTCTGCTCTGATTGGCCAGCTGACCCAGTGCATTGTGATTGGCCGAACCCCGCAAGCACCCGTTAGAAATGTAACGTCCCTTGATACTTACAACATATTTTTTTTAGAAATAGCCTTTGTGCACAGCCAGCCTTGAACTCTTCTAGGTTCAAAAAACTGTTGTCCATAAAATGCACAAATCCGAACATCTGGGTTGTGCTGCTCTGTTGTAAATAAATCTTAACCAGTGATTCCTAATTGCATCCACTTCCGGAAGGCCAAATAAAGTGCTTTTGCTTTCGCACTGAAACACACAGCGTCTCCCTGACATGGCTGCATCAACACTACTGCTGTTCCTGAAACCACTCCTTCTAATATTTCCACATAGTGAGGTACATATGTGGGGGCGTGTTAGAACGAGCCGTTTTAGGTAGACATGGTTGACTCTTAACTTTTATAAAGAATATCTCTTTGGATTTGAGACTTTAGTCTTTGCAACTTTACAGATCTTCTTTATGCACCAAGAGCTTGTAACACTCCAAAGAGAAAGGAAAAATTGAAATCGCATCATATGACCCCTTTAACAAATCAATAAAGTATAACATAAAAAAAAAAAAATCATTGTATGACTTTAATCAGTTTCTATTAAGAACTGTGTAGGCATATAACAACACACTTTTAGTTCTAAAGAACAATGTTTGACCAACTAAAAGATGTGTGTTAAAAGTTGTCTATTCCTAACACATTCTTATATGAATCCACATTGGTCTAACCTCATTTGGCCTTGGCGATCACTGAACTCCATACGGGGAAGGACGACCCCAGGACTTGAATGGACAACAACAGGCATCCGGTAGTCTAGGTAGGCTGTCTGTAACCACCAGTCAGAGAGCTAGCAGTGGAAATTATAGAGAGACAATGTGACATAAGAAGAAGCCCTTTAAAAGAGCTAGTCTGGCAGATCACATTGGGCTTCTGTCAAAGCATCACCTAACAAGTAATTACCCAGTTCTCCATCTTCTTCGCTCGCTGTTCCAGACCCTTCTGAAGTCTCTCTCCAACACCGCCCGGCTTCTGAAACTCCTCCAGCAGTTTCCGGGTGTGATTCAGCTCCTCCGGGTCCACAATGGGGGTCAGGGCAGCCAGATAGTGTTCGCATGTTTGTTGCAGTGGTGGCACTGGAAGCTTAGGCAGACCCTCCTGGTGGGCCAAGTAGCGACCAGCGATCCGTGTCACTGACACTGGCTTTACCAGGCCGGAGGGTTTCACCGCGCCAGCCTTGACCTAAAAATTGTATTACATCTTAGATAATAAAGATACATAGATAATACAGAACTTTTTATAATATGATCATATTATACGTTGGCATTGGTCTCTGTCAATATGTTTTGAAGATATTATCATATTAGTACCCAAAAGTAGTCCTAATAATTTACACAAAATGTACATTACCAAGCCAATATAGCCCAACGTCTATAAATAACTGGAAATGTTATGTGTAGCACTCAAATATAAAACACATGCGTCAGCATTTGGGCTGTCATAAAAAAAAAGCTAAAGAGCTTTATTAGAGACCATTTACACATTCACACGACGTGTTAGGTACCTGCATTAAGTATTTAAGCAACTGTCAGTGAACACTGTTTCTATCACTGCCTTGAACTGCGTCTGCACTTCCTACTGTCCTTAGCACTACCGCTACCTAACCATAAACATTCTCTGAATGTCAGTAATACCCGCCGCTCAGGCTGACAGCTAACGTTATCCTTGTTTATGTCAAATAAAAGATCAGACTATGTTTAAAAACCCGGCCATATGCATTGGTTACTCACCATCGTCCTGGCAAGAATGCCCAACATAACTGAAGTTCACTAAAACGCCCCCAAATCGAGCCTGAGAGGAGGGACAGAAACGAGCAGTTGTGTTCAGAGTCCACTGAGCGAGAGCTGCAGAAACAAACACCCGGACTCCAAGCCCAGCCCCCTTTCGCGTCAGCTTTCTGCTGAACGATCGACACTTCTCAATAATCTCAGACATTTTATTGATGAAAATAAAGGAGGTAGTCTTTAATCTACTAATTAATTAAAAACCAAATTTGCAGACTCCAAGGTCCAGAATTTAATATCCTAATACTGTTTTTACTGTTCCATAACAACGCAACACTATATGTACTTACATTGTACGTATACTGCATGTACATACTTAATAATAATGCATCACAAAAAACAAAAATTAGAATTTCTAAATATTATATATGATAATTATTACATACTTAAGAATACGTCTTTTGATTCCTTAAAATTAAATCGTGAAATAAAAGTCTACATTTACATATTACGCATGTTACAAATCATACGATAGTCGCAGTAACATTTTCTCACAGCAATTTACGGTCGCTGATCAAGTCTCTTAAAAACTGTTTTACGCGAAACTGCGGGTGAGAGTTGAAGGGTGGTGTTTTCATGTTCACAGTAAACATGGCGGAGACTGAACAGTCGTCAGGTAACTCACATCAATCAAATCTTCATTTAAACACGGATCATTCAAAGGCGACGATACCAGTGATACATCTGCAGATTATATAGGTTGTCGTGAAACATCTGAAGGGGGGAAAGGGTTGTGCATATGTGCAGGAAAAACGCTTAATTGTGGGCTCACCGCGTCTCATGTAACGTTAATGAATCGATGAGTCTGACAGCTCTGCGCTGTGGCGCATATATAGTTTATTACGCATTGTCTGCGAACAGACGACTCGATATTAGTATTTATTTGCAGTATTAATGTACTTACAATGCTGTTTAAAATAGATTTTACTCAGAGTAATGAACAAAACGGAGGAACACATTTAGTTTCAAACTTAGTTGGGTAACCTATCTTTACCATAGGAACTTCTCAGCTTTAGAAATAGTGTGTCGCTTGTTGTTATATTCTGATGTTTGTTTGTGTATAATGGGTTGATGAAAAGTTTCTTTTCTAATGTGTATTCTGGGAACAAACTTTGCATATAAATGTTATTTATTATTTTTGGTAAGAAAACTAGGAACAGGTCCTCTTTAGGACAGTAATATGGGTTCATAGGTTTTCTGATCAGAACCAACTAACGTTTAGGCTCAGACTTCTATAATATCAGTGGACTTTAGGATATGAAAGAAACCCCGTTGTGTAAGGAAATTATCATAAGGGTGTGTGGATGAAGTAGAAATATATGTATGCAAACAAATTAAAATTAAGTCAGTTGGTATGCTAAAAAACAGTGTATGTTCTAAAAATAAAATATAACCAGTTTGTTAAGTTATAGGAAATTTATAAAGAGTTTAGAATGGCAGAATCCACTTTTAACTAAGTTGCTTTTGGTTCTTATTATTAGTTTCATTATTAGTATTAATATCATTTTCATTTGACACTAAAATTGGATGTGTCCATCATATTTTTCATCTCTTGCACAGGCTCGTCCCATGAGGGTGACAAGCCTCCCAATCCTGGCGATTTCAGCTTCATGGTGCCAAAGAAGGAGATCAGCATGGTGCCTGATATGGGCAAATGGAAAAGATCACAGGTATGTTGTACAGCCCACTATGAGAGCAGTTTATCTGCTACTTTGAGAGATGGAAAAATAGCACATTTTCAGTCTCTTTCCCCAGTATCTCTGGAGTTAAAGATAATGATAGGAATCTTTATTGTTTGACACTTTTTCTTGTGTGGACAAGAGACAGTTCTAAAAAATACCTCTGCATTTATTATTCCTATTAAAGATGTAAATAAATATAAAAATGAACATTTCTGGTCTATAAAGAGCTGTTTTATTGTTATATTGAGGGCAGTCTTAACATTCTTTAAACCCCACGTTGCTTGCATCTGAGCATGTTTCTGTTTTGTGTAAGTAGGCATATGCTGACTACATAGGATTCATTCTGACCCTGAATGAGGGTGTGAAGGGAAAGAAACTTACATGTGAATACCAGGTGTCTGAGGTGGGTCACTGTCCTGCTTTTCTCTATACTGCTGTATGTTGATCTGTATGTAATAGATTAAGTAATTGGTGAAAAATGTTTTGATCATGATAATGCAGGCTCATGGATCAGCTCATAGAAATGTGCTTGTATGCTTTTCTTTGCTATTAGACAGTGGAGAAGTTGCTTGCTATGTTGGGAACATTAGATCGCTGGATCGATGAGACGCCACCAGTAGACCAGCCTTCTCGCTTCGGCAATAAAGCTTACCGCACATGGTATGCTAAACTAGACCAGGTAAGCGCCTGTATGAAATCAAAATGGCCTTCTATGTATATGACCAGTGTTTACCTTTATACTGCTTTAATTTGCTTTGGAATCAGTTCTTGGCCAAGCATTGCCAGTAACTTTAAGCATACAGTGCATTCAGAAAATATTCACCATCCATTTGATTATTTCTTCTTCTGTTGTGTTTGTCCAAATTAAAACGGAATTTTTCAGTGCAGTATTTGAATGAGGGGAATTGGTTAAGGTGAATACTTTTTTATGGCAATGTATCATTTCTGTGCTGTTGGTTTGAGGTGAAATGATGTAAGAGTGTTTTGTGTGTGCAGGAGGCAGAGGCTTTGGTCGCAGCCGTTCTGCCGTCAGAGCGTCATGATGCTGCTCCAGAGATAGCAGTCTACCTGAAAGAGTCTGTGGGCAACTCCACCAGGATTGACTACGGCACAGGTCTGTGTGGGGATACACAAGAATAAAGAATAAAGGATTATTTTATTTATTATATGTTTGTGCATATGTGTTTCTCCATAGTTGTCTTTGAAGAGAAATTATATCTTTTCACACTTTTATCTATTACTCCTTAATAAATTCAACTGTCACATCAGAGAGAATAATAAAGGCAAAACATGAACTACTACAGATATTTACTTTTAAAACATCAGCTATATTGATTCTTTTCACAGACTGTCATGATGGGTTTCCACAGTTAAATTTTATTTTAAAGTGTATGTACATTTATAACACTATATTTTGTGTCATGTTACATTGGCATTAAATTAAGGCTGGAATACACTACACAACTATTAACATCTGAGTAGATTTTTTAAAAACTGGGCATCATACTTACCGACTTTTGTAATAGTCACAGAGAAAAAACTGGCCATCATACAATAAATGACTGATGATTATACACTACCATAACTCATGCAGAAAGATGTACCTTTTTGTTAGGAGACGCGTGACGAATGAAAACAATGTGTGTTCTAAAATCGCCTCAAAATATCAAACATGTTGATATCCTCCGACTGGATAGAATCAAAGTCTGAAGCTAAAAAAATCGAAGACTGTTACCATCAAGCACTACGTGAGATTTTTCTATGAAATCTGACAACTCAAATCTGCAGACTGGCAACTAAATCGGGGCAAAAACTGTATAGTGTATTCCAGCCTTTACACAAAACTAGTTAACGCAGTTATCTTTACTAGTTATCTTTCTCTCTTCCGACCAGTGCAATCAATCTCTCAATATTTTTTCCTCTTTTGTAGTCATATAGAGGCACTATCATGGATTTTTTTTCTTTTGTTATTGGAGCAAATGGTAAAAACCGTATTGGCTGTAGTTTCTGTTTATGACTATAGATGTTTACCGAACTATGATGCCTTAAGATTCAGGGAACTCTGGGACTGTGAAAAGGGTCCATAATATACTCATAAGAATATCCAAGTGAATATTTAATGTTGTTTTTCTGAATAATCACTAGAGGGTGCTGTTGAAACACAAAACATTTGGATGCCTTTGAGAGCTTCACATACTTCAGATACTGAACGAGTACAAACCTTAAGTACACTATACAGTTCTTGTTCTAAATAAAGTCTGACATGATTCACACTGATAACTTGTGAGTTTGTAAGTCTTTTTGTGAGAATAATTTAAAGAAACCATTCATAAGAGTCAGTTATTTGTTAATTAAGTTACAATTAAGTTAAGGTTGTGTGTGTGTGTGTGTGTAGTGTAGCCAGCAATGACGATGCAAACAGAAATAGAATTGCCTTGCCATTATTTTGTGGTACAGTGTCATTTAATCTCATCACATTCAATTCAGTCTATAAGCACACCAATTAGGTAAAATTCTGTGGTGCTGTAGATTCAGCCGTGCAGGAGCCGCTGGTTGCATTATTTAGCATAAGAAGTAACATGTTTCTGTGTTCAGGTCATGAGGCAGCATTTGCTGCGTTCCTCTGCTGTCTTTGTAAGGTGGGAGCTCTGCGCATGGAGGACCAGCTGGCCATCATATTTAAAGTTTTTGACAAGTTAGTTCATCTTCTTATTGCTTGACTTCTTATTTTGAATACTTTGAATCTGTAACTCCCAGCATCTTCACTGAGCACGTCTTCACTTTACTGCACACTAAATGCCAACAAAACAATTTTGACAATGTATTTTAGGGTTGCATTTTGTGGTTGATGGTGTAAAGCTGTGGAGAACTCATTTGCATCAAGCATTATGATCTGATTGGCGTAGGTATCTGCAAGTGATGCGCAAACTGCAGAAGACGTATAGGATGGAGCCGGCAGGGAGTCAGGGTGTGTGGGGTCTTGACGACTTTCAGTTCCTTCCCTTTATATGGGGGAGCTCACAGCTTATAGGTAATGACTCTTCCTTTGTTGCCCATTTTGGCTCTAATTCTGTAATGTTTATATTTGTATTTCATTTCAGTTTTATTACAGTTTTTAATAGTTTTAGTTAACATAAAAAACACTGTACCTAGAGCAGGGGTGGCCAACGTTGGTCCTGTAGAGTTTTGCTCCAACTTTGATAAAAACTCACCGGCCTGTAGCTTTCTAGTAACCATTAGACCTTGATTAGCTGGTTCAAGTGTGTTTGATTAGGGTTGGAGCTGAACTCTGCTGGACTGTGGCTCTCCAGGACCGACATTGGCCACTCCTGACTTGGAGCTAATAAATTCATTTTTAACTGGCTGAATCCAGGCCCATTGTTGCTTGCAATGGCAAACATGGTGACACCTAGTGGTCATACTGTGTAACTGAACTATGTTTGCTCATCTATTGTGTGTAGACCACCCAACCCTGGAGCCCAGACACTTTGTGGAGGAGAAGGTTGTAAACGAGTACCACCAAGACTACATGTTTCTGGAGTGCATTAAATTCATCAATGAGGTGTGTGTCATCTGGCATCTACTCATGGATAGACTGTTTTTCCTTTCATTTTCATTTAGTTGGGAGGATGAAATTTAGATCACACACAAACAAAAACTCCTAAGTTCCATTCATGTAAATACTTACAATATATAGTTTAAAACTCTCTCTCTCTCTCTCTCTCTCTCTCTCTTTCTCTCTCTCAGGGAGGTTGTGTTTGGACTCCACTCGCATGAGTCATTTCCTTCCTTCCCTGAACGTTGTTGTGAATCACTCCTAAGGCCCCTAGGGCCCACCCCCTCCTTTCTTTCTCTTTCCTCTCTCTCTCTCTCTCTCTCTCTCTCCATTTCCTTCTCTCCATTCCTCTTTGAGGGGCTAGTAGGTCTCTGGAAAGTCCAGCTTGACGAGAGCTCTCTCTCTCTCTCTGTGTGTGTGTGTGTGTGTGTGTGTGTGTGTGTGGAGTAAAGCCACACAGCACTGCCATTCATAAAGTGCTCTTTCCCAAGGGCAGCCCACAAGCCCCTCTCTCATAAACTCTCATGAATAGACTTCATAATACAGTGTCATGATGATGACTGTCAAATTACTAATACTACAGAAGAGTTCATAGTCTTTTGTTAATATTAAAATATTTAAAAATTTTACTGTATTTTTATCAAATAAATGCAGTCTTGTTGAACATAAGAGACTTCTTTCAAATATATTTAAAAATCTTACCCACAGCAAACATTTGAACAGTAGTGTATTTTTTATTTCCTCAGCAATCAGAAACATAATTTATTATATAAACTCTATGCATTTGGATTTTCAGTAGCTTCATTTCTTTAGTTTAGTAGTGTTGCCACTATTTTGCTAATATTAGTGCTAAATTTTGTATATTAATTTGTTTTATAGTAACCTTTATATTTCTATTTTAAAGAACCACTTTCATAAGTATTGTTAATATTGGTATTTGATTGTTGTTGTTGTTTCACTTATTTTTTTACTGTCTTTGCCCTTTTTCTGATCTGTGGTAAACACAAATGCAAGTTTTTTTTCTTTTATTCCCTGAATAAAATCAGTTTTTATCTTAGCAACTTTCCACTGGCAGTTAAAAGTGAAATATCTTATTCAAAGTAGAATTGTTGGGTTTCAAATTGTTCCATTAAATCTAGCTTTAATGCTGATTGCACTGCGTATCTTAAGCTTACTATCATCTTAATCACTACATTTTTTTTTTCTCTTTTAGATGAAAACAGGCCCTTTTGCTGAACACTCGAATCAGCTTTGGAACATCAGCGCTGTTCCTTCTTGGTCCAAAGTCAATCAAGGTCTCATACGAATGTATAAAGCAGAAGTAAGTATCATGGTATTTTAAACACTTTTACATATCAGGAGTAAACTTGTGATAGTGACTCCTTATATGTATATCCTTGTATGTAAATGGTACATTGGTAGTTAGTGCATTAAATCCTGCTTCATCATAACTGAAAAAAATTCATAAACACTATTCAGAAAGCAGAATTGCAGGCTACCCACTCACATAGTCAGCATGTGACATTTATAAATGTGTCATTTTAACTGCCAGGCTGTGGATTCAGTCTGTGAAGTTTCAAGACCAGAGCTGAAAGAGTTAATTGAGCAAGCATGTGTTCGAGGGGAAGAACTGGGTGCCCCACCCCCTCCTCCAAAGCCCACATCCTGTGTTGTTGAGAAGGCTGTGCTCCCTCCCCCTTCTCTCCCTTCTGCGCAGAGCGAAGCTGAGGGGCCAGTCTGTCTGCAAATTCCCCTCCTCCTTCCCTCTCTCTCTCACCCTGTCTGTCTTTCCCCACCCCCGTATATATCACACTCTCGTTCTCCATCATCCAGGGACTCATGACTGTTACTGATGTCTTTCAAGTTAAATACAAGTTAAAGAGATGTTTTTTTTTCTTCTGAATATGAAATCTATTCATATGGATGTTATATGTCATGTGGACATATATATATATATATATATATATATATATATATATATATGTATGTGTGTGTGTGTTACATAAATTAAATATACATATGTCATATGGACATATATGTATATATATATAAATTAAATATATATATGAATTTGATTTGATTTAATTCTGTATCTTAGCGACATTTGAGTGTACTTTTGTCTCAATTTTACTATTTTCTACATTGAAATACATGCTGAGAGGTTCCTGCTTCACGTCTCCGTTGGCCTTATGTGTAGTTTGAGGATCCTATACCCTTTAAGAGTTTTCCACAGTCCTAGACTCATATTCAGCAGGAATGCATTAAAATGATCAAAAGTGACAGTCAAGATATTCATAGTGTAACAAAAGATTTATTTCAAATAAATGCTGTTCTTTTGAATGTTCTATTTATCAAAGAATCCTGGAAAAATCGTTTTCCTAAAAATATTAAGCACCACAACTGTTTTCAACATTAATAATAAGAAGAAATGTTTTCTTGAGCACCAGATTAGCATATGAGAATGATTTCTGAAGGATCATGTGACACTGAAGACTGGAGCAATGACTGCTGAAAAAAATCGCTTTGCCATCACAGGAATAAATTACATTTTAAAATATTTTAAAATAGAAAAAGTTGTTTTCAATTGTAAAAAATATTTCACATTAATTCTGTTTTTGGTCAAATAATTGCAGCCTTATTGAGCATCTTCTTTCAAAAACATTAAAAAACACACTTTTGAACAGTAGTGTATGTGGGGATGTAACCTCTGTATAGTCTTATTCTTTTGGACACCATAGCATTAGACATTTTGAAAGCTAGCAAATCTATTCTCTTGCTGTAAAGTTGATTGATACTAGCAAACTCTTTCTCTGTCATCCTCTCACAGTGTCTAGAAAAATTTCCCGTCATCCAGCATTTCAAGTTTGGCAGCCTGCTCTCCATCCAGCCAGTCAAACAATGAGAGACAAGAAAAAGAATTTGCACCTCATCAGAGAGCACAACCAAAACTCCAAAATTGGACTAAACCACTTCAGTCCCAGTTAACAAACCTAAATATGCATTCTCATCACCAGAGGTGCTTGGTCTTACTCCTGAAGAGCCGCTTTCCTGGAGAGTTCAGTCCCAAACCTGCTCTAATACATCCAACCCTAAAAGATTTAAGTAAACCTGAAGACCTAGATTATCAGGTTCAGGGGTATTTGAGTTGAGCTGAACTAAACTCTGCAGGACAGTAGATATAAACAGCTGTTTGTGGGTTTATGGAGCATCAGTGTCTCAAAAGGCACTTGTAGTGAACTTCTTGCTGTTCAGTTATCAAAGATTGCTGAGGCATGTGTTCATTGTGAGTGGTTTCAATAAGTGTAATTTTTACCTATGTAAGGCATTAATAAGTTGTCAACCACTTTAGTTTTACATTTTCGGCTGTGCTTGTTTTTTTCATATTCTCTTTACTGAAAATCAGATGAGTAAAATACCAAAAAGACCTTTATAGTTTCTAAACAGCCACATGTAGCTAATACCACAGTCTTCCGTTTGATAAATTAAAGCAATGAATTTGCATCCAGAAGTTTAGCATGATGCTAAATTAGTTGGTTTCCGTTTTCTTCAGAACCAACACAGAAGGGGTAACATTGAAAGAACAGGGTACACAGTCTGCATGTTAAAATTTCTGAAATATTGGTGCAAAGCTTTTGTTACTCAAATGCAGCAATTCTTTATCCTGTTAGAACCGGGCAAAGCATCTGTGAACACTTTTACGTCGGCAGAAATATAATTCACAGTGTAAGTTTTATATAGTTCTGCACATTATCGAGAGAGAGAGGCACATTAAACAGGCCTTTTAGTCCTGGGTTACTTTTTGTTTTAAAGACTTCAGCCTAACAGAACTAACAGACCTGGGCTGCATTTCCTAAATGCTTTGTAGGCCTAAATAGATTGTTGAAACCCTTGGCACCAATGGTTTCTACAATCTACTTAGAATTACAATGATTTTGGGAATTGCAACCAGCGCTTTAAATTAAGATATATAAATTAAAATGACCTTATTGATTATTATAACTAAGGATTTGCTTGAACCGTTTGTTGCAACCAGCCTCATATTTTTAAGTGTAGTCTCAATTTCAAAAGAATAACCATTGGTCTTACAACTGGCTTTTTGAGTTTCAGTATTTAATAAAAATGTTGATTTTTGAGATTGAATGGAACTACTTAATAATGGGACATAACACTTACTGTTTATGTGCCCTCTAACCACCACAATTAAGTTTTAAGTTAATTAATCAGTACATTGTGTCTCTTCTAATTGTACAGAGACTTACCAGAATCGGGTTTCTTTTCCTCGTCACAATATACAGTTCACAGAAATGTCAAGTAGATTCAACAGTTTCCTGTTATGTGACATGCTATAATTCATCTAAAACTGTATATAATTCAAATAAAAAGTTCCACTGCCTCATAAAGGGAAAGGGATGTAGGCCAACTGGCAGATATTTTATTATTATTTTTAAGTTGATGATTTCAAGGTAAAATGGTCATTAGATTTCAACCTAAAATTGTGATGCTGAATATTTTTATTATTATTAATAATAATAAAAGCTATCCATACGCTTTCCAAATGGGATCTCTGGAACAAGTTTGATTCGATATATATATATTTTTAGATTTTTTTGATTTTATCTACACAGTGCTCAACAAGACCTACATGCAGGCCAGGCCAATTCACATTCTGTAGTTAAAGTGGAGTCATTTTCAGTGGTTGCCATATTCAGCATCTGCCCAGTCACTAGTCCAGCCGCCCCACTGAGAAACTCGGCAAGCTTGCTGAGTAATTGACATGAACGCATGTCGAATTCACCCATCCGCCTCCCCCGTTTCTGTTCAATTGTATTCAGACGCAGGCTCCACTGCTGAGATCAACAGGCGCAGTTGAGATGAGATAAGATTAAAGTCGTGCCTTTTGTCTTCATTAACATTTAATATAACCAGTGAGCCCCTTTCACAAAGCTGCTCATTTAGGAAGGTGTAAACAAAAGTGTATATATATCACGTCCACCTGTTAATGAAACATGTGCTAGGCTATCTATGTCGAATGTTCTTCTGCGTGCGTGTAGAATTGACGGCGCGCGGATCCTTCCATCAGGTTAAATAAGAAAACCTGCATTCGTTTCGTGCGCGCGCTCTCCATGCGAGCGTTTTCCCCGTTGGCCACGCGGAGGAGCTCGCAACCCACCACAGACCATGTTGTGCATCGCCTGTCAAAAATGAAACGAATATACAAGCGGTTATTAAATAGATTTGGTAACGCTAGCTCAGACAACTTTCCCCTAAAATCAGCCTATTCAGAATAAAACAAACGAAAGTCTCAAATATAAAGTTTTAAGCTCATTATATAGCCGACGTTAGCCTTGATGAATCATTCAGTTATTATTTCACAAACCAAGCTAGATGCAACCGTACAACATATTTGCACGGTTTTACACGCGTCGTCCTAATGTACTACACAACATACCGCGCGAACGAATTACCTGCGTTTTTAGCGATATTTAAACATGCGCGAGGCAGCTCGTCGGAAATAGCCATGACAACGACCTGATAACAGCCTATGTGTGTTGGACGTTGATGTGTCGGGCGTACTGCGGTATCTCAGATTGAGAGGAGGCTAGACATGAGAGAGAGGGACCGGAGAGAGAACAGAGAGGGGTGGGGTGGGGTGGGGTGGGGTGGAGGGGGTTGAAGGGAGAAGCGGATTCGAGGTCAGCCCGAGGTGCCGCTACATAGGCGCTCTAATACCTTCATTCATTGATTTTGAAGAACACCACCATGTGGCATACAGCAGAGATAACACGGTCTACAAGTTTAGCGAGAGTTTCTGGCTAAAAAAGTGCGCGCTCCTTAAAACCAGTGCCGGCCAATAGCACGCGACGCGTCTGATCCTTGCTTCAAACCCCTCGTTTTGAATGTAGGCTTTATTGAATTATACACTTTGTTTTATTCCTTTTATGGTGTGCATATATGTATACTTTCCTTTTCATTCGTTGTTCTATTCTTGGCCTGCAGGTGATAGTTTAATATCCCACAAGATAATGGCATATATCTCAAATTTGATTTCAGGTGATCCAAACCAATGCTGAGAATATTCATTTAGGAACTTAAATGCACACTTGTGGCCATTTTGGAGCCACTGAGATCTAGAAATGTTTGCTCTTTAGTTCTGTAGGCTAATATTTGATTAGAAATCTTACTAGCATGTTCTGTTACAGTGAGGTATGGAAAATATGGCAAATGTAATGAATCTGACCTCAATTGTGGATATGGTAGATGAGACGTGCTAAGGATGTTGCAGTTTGCGTATAACCTTTCTGTTGTGTTGCTTTGAGTCAAGCTCAATGTCATGAGGCCTACATTTTAAGGCCGCTATAATGAACATTCTTGGTTTATTAAAAAAAAGAGGCAATGCGAAGTAGGTTTCATTTTTTTATTAAGGTTATAAATTTTAAACAAATACTTTCTAAAACAGTTTTACCCGGTGATATACAATTTAATATGCACAAAAATACAAGAATACCAACAAAATATGGGGAATACGTCTGAAAACGTCTTTAATTCAGTACACATAGTGCTTATATAATGTGAGGACGTATGGCTAATTTATGAGATTGCCTTTTTAGAACAAAAGGTCTAAGTTTGTAGAAAATAAAATCAAACCCACAAAACCAAGCAAATGCTGGCATCATGAATTACTGTGAAGGTTTAAACTTTTTCTGAGAGTAAGGGGGCGGGAAATGGTTAACGCTGGAGACTGGATAGTCAACAAAAATACCTGGCAGATTAAATCACGACGTGCATTGTGGGAGTTGTAGTGTTAATTAATGGCCCCAACGTTCAGTGTTGATGAGGTGACTGGCATAGGCGAACTACAAACACACTCAGAGGAACTGGAGCTGTAGGTCAGTGCAGTCAACAGAACGCACCAGTCCTCGCCGCTTTCAACAGCACATTTCAGAATACAGAAAACAACTAACTCTGACAGGGAGGGGGTTCAAATATTGCACCTGCATTAGTCTACTTGATTGCCTTGTATGATGTTACAGAATGTAGTCTGTGTACCCAGTCCTCTTCCTGTAGCTCTACGTTAACGACAGCACGAGCAGCTCAGAGAGTCTTGATGTTGTAGCTTGTTCTACTGGTAAACTGGTAGTCGTTCCGACATTAAAATGTTAGAAAATATGACAAGGCTGCTTAAAGTGTTATGTACTGTGTGAGAAATAAGCGTGCAGTGGGCAGGCTTCTCCGTTTGCAGCCTGTTATTCCCAACATTACATGCTTTGTGAAAGTTCCTGGGAAGGGAGAGAAGAAGAAAAACGAACAATCCACGAGCGAAACATTCAGAGACTTTCCATGTTTGTGGCCATAGCTAGCAGTCTGCGTTGGGTTTAAGGCAACGAAATTCAACTTCGTTTTAAAACGTTTGTTGTAATATCGACATTTTGTTTTAAAGGATACATCACAAGTGGTAGGCTACTACCACTGTCCGCCTTCCCCACTGAAACGAAACTAAAAACAAACCAAAATAAAAACGCATAAATAACTTTGCTGCAAAAATAAGTCAATTTGTCTTAGACTTTGTACAATTTCATAAAGTAAGTTGTCTGTATTCGCATTAACCAGAGTCAAAAGGCTACAATAGCTCTCGTCCAAGCCCCTAAACTCGCCAGGGCTTGTTTGCTACAGAACTGTCCGTTTAAGGCTTGCTCCAAGTCCGCTTGTCTGCTCACCAGTCCCGTAAACCCCGAGCCGAAGATCGAGATGAGGTTGGAAATGTTCGACGTGTCCAAGGGCTCCGTGCATGCGTATGAAGAGTCCTCGAATTTCGCTCTTTTGCACGGCGTAAAATCCGGTACCTCCTCGATCTCGGACACGTAGTACCCAAAGTCAAGCTTGCGTTTCTTGGCCGGGCTCTGTGCGCCCTGGTAGCACTGCTGGAGCGAAGCGCAGCAGTCCTGATGCAAATACCCGTTCTCTACTGTGGTAACGACATGCGTGTCCAAATCGAGCACTGTAGTTTTGTTGCAGTGCATGTTGTTTACCGGCGAAAAGTCACAGTTGGACACGGGATAGGGTTCCGCGCAGCAGCTGCGGTAGAACGAGGGGTCCGGCGATTTGCAGACCTCCTCGCTTTGGAGAGCTAGGGGCACCGAGCAGGCGCTGCTGGGCTGGATGTGGTGCACCGAAGGAACCTGGTGACTGACGGGCAGGAGCGCACCGCAGAGGCTCGCCGACTCGTTCGCGCTGCCGCAGCAGTCCCCCGTCTGCTCCTCGCAGTCCTCCACCAGATCGAGCGGGTTCAGCTCCTGGATCTCGTTGCAGACGGTCATCACCTCCTCGTACTGCTGCATCCTGTAGATTTCGGCGTACTTCTCGTTCATGTAGACTTGCCTGGCGTTCCTCAGTACATAGGAGACCAGCAGGTTTTTGTGCAGCTTGATTCCTCCTCTCTGCGTACGGGAGTTGTGGATTTTCCGTAAAGATATCGAAATGAGACTTTGTGCGTCCACTGCACACTCCATGGTGTTGATCATGGTCGGGGTCGTAATGTTTTCCCACCTCTCCGACGAAGGAAACAAACTTTCTTTTAGTCAGAATCACGATATTTTGTTCGGGGACGAAGGCTTAAGTCAGCTCTGTGGAGAAACATTGAACGTGGTCGTTTCTGACTCAACGTGTGAGCGTAGGCAATCATTAGCCTGCGCTTGCTGCCAAAGCATATATATGGCGAAGAACTTTCCGCCCACTTCGCCTCCGGCCAATCAGGGGCCGAGAATATCGTTGAGTGACAAGCAAATCCCACCCAGAGGTTTTGATCTCGTCCAATCACAGAGAGGCGGTTCTTCTGTGCTATTCAAATTCTAAACTTACTTTACCAAACTGGAATGTTCTCATGAGGCGCATTGCATTGTAGTTCGGAGAGCGTGCTCTTGTCATGTGTGCTGGAGAGACTAGCCTACTTGAAAGATCTGACACACATTCCCTAAAGTCATTTGTTTAGTAAGTTAAAACGTACTATGTGATGCTCTGTATGTGTTATTACAATCTCGCCGTTTTTTCTGTCATTCAAACTAAATTTGCTCTGTTTTTGGTCATCAAGATTTTAACAACATTATACTCATTTGCAACTTAGGTTAAAAACCGTGCC